AAAAAAAAAAAAACTCATGCCGGGTGCGTGTGCGTGCGTGCCCAAAATCCCAAGAGGAGAATAGAGAAGGGACTACGGCATAGCCATCCCCACTGCAGAGCGACTTCTCAGTTTCTGTCTCTCTGTCTCTCTGGCAATAGCATGCACCCCATAGCAAAAATCTCTCTCGTAAAAAAACAACAGATGCGGACTCCCCCGCCGGCACTCTGACTGCGTGCTCAGGGCTGCCCTGGACGCTGTGCCTTCCTAAGCTCCTGCTGTGCAGTGGCGTCTGGAAGGGCTGGTGTCCATGTGCAGGTGGCGGGGTTGCCAGGAGACGTGATTGAAGCCATGTCTTACTGCAACCCTGAGTGGGCTGTTTCTCCTCTCGGAGCCTCAGTGCCCCCTGCAATGGGCTTGAGAAGAAACTTTGCCTCCCAGGTGCGATCTGCAAGCCTGAGCCTGGAGGAATGGTCGGTACCCCCAGGGCTAGAAGGTGTCCCTGCTTACCTCGGGGTCCTCCTTCAGGAAGCCCACATTGCTCTTCCTTCTGGCCGCTCCACCTGGACCTTTCGCGGGTTCCCCCTCCCTGCTCACCTTTCTTCCGGGCCCTTTCTGCTTCTCAGGTAAGACTCGGACCAAGGACAAGTACCGCGTGGTCTACACCGACCACCAGCGCCTGGAGCTGGAGAAGGAGTTCCATTATAGCCGCTACATCACAATCCGGCGGAAATCAGAGCTGGCCACCAATCTGGGGCTCACTGAACGGCAGGTGAGTAGGTCCTTCCTTTGCAGGAGCAGTGCAGGGAGACTGATCTCCGGGCTGCTAGGCAGATTACGGAGCTCCATAGAGAGAACAAAGAGGTTGCCTCTCTATACCACGGTCACACAGCACAGCAGTTATTGGGCTGTTGACAAACTCCCCTCAAGGAAATCTGATATCCCTGCTCCACAAATAGGAGAATAAGAGGGGTCTGATTAGCTAGGCCACAATAGGCTATGATTGATGCTGTTCAAGTCTAAAATGGGGAGCAGACCGGGCAGAAGGACAGAAGGCTTCCTGGAGGAGGAGTGCTAGAGCATGGCCTAGGAAGGTAGAGGGGAGAAAGGTTACAGGGAAGGGTGTCTCGAAGGTTAGGGGGCAGGTTCTCGAGGGGGAGAATGTGTTCTGGGTCCATGAGGTCCGGGTACCTGGAGCAGGAGGGAGGCCACAAACACTGTGTGGAGAAAGGTGAGCTCCCGTTCCCTGAGTCCCCAGCACCTACCCGTCTCTGCTCCGACCTTCAGGTGAAGATCTGGTTCCAAAACCGGCGAGCGAAGGAGCGCAAAGTGAACAAGAAGAAGCAGCAGCAGCAGCAGCCCCCACAGCTGCCACCAACCCATGATGTCACCCCCACCCCCACTGGACCGCCCCTGGGGGGGCTGTGTCCCAGCAGCAGCAGCCTCCTGGGCACCGCCTCCCCGATGCCTGTCAAGGAGGAGTTTCTGCCATAGCCCCCTGCCCGGCCTTGAGGCCAGGGGCCCAGGAGACCTGGTCTGAGTCCCAGCTCTGCCACTGGCCTTCTGGGTCACTGGGGAGGCATTACCTTTCTACCCCGTGTCCCGTGGCCCACCTGTGCCTTAACCTGCTGTGGGAGAACCTCTTCCAGCTCTTGCGCCCTGGGCCTCAGGGGATAAGGAAGTCTGGGCAGCATCTTGAGCCCAGGGGTGCAAGGGCACCGAGACAAGGCCCAGCCCCACCATCCCCTTCGTAGGTTCATGTGGGAAGCTGCCCTGCAGGGATCAGACTGACCCTGGGGACAGGGGCAGTGTTAATATGGTCAGCTCACACCCGCCTTTTTCTGCAGCCACCCCCGTCCAGCTCCCATGCCAGCAAGTCCTAGGCCCTCCCCAGCCCGGATGCTGAGCCCAGAGCCCATGGGGCTGAGCCTGAGCTGGTGCTGATGACACCTGCTGGGGTGCCTGTACCCTCGCTGCCTTCTCAGTGAGGCCTCCAGGTAGAGAGGGAGGCCCTGGAGGGGAGAAGGGGCAGAGTCCACCCTGCCGGTCTCTGCCACCTCACATCAGACTGTCCTTCGGGGCCCGGGGCCCAGGGAGCCCCCAGAGGACTTTCTCTGGACCAAGCAGCACTCACAGCTGGACAGGGTGTTGTACATAGAATGGAATCTCTTGGATGCAGCTTCAAGAATAAAATGTTTCTCTTTTCAAAAATGTATAAAGATTTTTATGCATACTATTAAAGAAAAATCTTTAAGAAGGAAAAAAATATCTTAAATCATCCTCACCTTTCCCCTAACTATTGCAAGTTCCCTTCCTATTTTTGTGGCCTGACAAGGTCACCTATAGAATGTTTGAAAGATCGAAACAGGATATTGTTTTTTGTTTTCATTTTTTGTGTTTTTTGGGGAGAGGTTTTTGCTATAGGACGTGTGCACTTGCCAGAAAGACAGAGAGACAGAGAAAACGAGATATCACCCCCATCAGACTGTCCTTCGGGGCCCGGGGCCCAGGGAGCCCCCAGAGGACTTTCTCTGGACCAAGCAGCACTCACAGCTGGACAGGGTGTTGTACATAGAATGGAATCTCTTGGATGCAGCTTCAAGAATAAAATGTTTCTCTTTTCAAAAATGTATAAAGATTTTTATGCATACTATTAAAGAAAAATCTTTAAGAAGGAAAAAAATATCTTAAATCATCCTCACCTTTCCCCTAACTATTGCAAGTTCCCTTCCTATTTTTGTGGCCTGACAAGGTCACCTATAGAATGTTTGAAAGATCGAAACAGGATATTGTTTTTTGTTTTCATTTTTTGTGTTTTTTGGGGAGAGGTTTTTGCTATAGGACGTGTGCACTTGCCAGAAAGACAGAGATAGACAGAAAACGAGAAATCACCCCCATGCCACAATCCCTTCTCCATTCTTCTCTCAGGATCTTGAACACGCACGCACACGCACACATACCCAGCGTGAGTTTAAGCCACTGGGTCTGGGATTTGAACCACAGTCGACTACCTGGGAGTCCAGTGACGTAGCTATTACACCATCTGCTGGTCCCTCAAACAGGGTATTGTTAGAGTGAGTCTATGAGACTATGACAGAATCTGGGATCGTTTTATTGAACAGAATCATCAGTCACAATTTATCAGTCCTGGATTTTTCAGATATTTCAGTTCAGGTTTTTCTCTCAACCTAATAATCCCTGGACACCCCACCCCACTCCATTGCCAGGCGTGGTTAGACCTGGGACACACACAGTCCTTGCCACCTGCAAGTCCGCAGTCCAGTGGGGAACGCTGCAGTGTATGCAGATGACACTCATGTAACAGGATTAGGGCCACTCAGAGCTGTGCTTTGGGCCGTAAGGGAACCGGGGCACCCAGGGAATGCAGAGTAGGTTCTTAGCTTACCCTAGAAGGCTTCCTGGAGGCTGTAATGTTCGGACTGAGACATAAAGCGGGTGGGTGCTGGTCAAGCCAAGAAGCGAAGAATAGTAAAATGAACATGAGCAATATCATGCATACAATACTGTGTTCATACTGGTATCATTGGTCATGTTGGTTCAATATCATGTTCAATAAGATATCATTGAAAAACTTCCTGGGTAAGGCTGCTGTCCCGTGCATCGGTGGGCAGGAGCCTGCTTCCTCTCCCTAGAGGCCTGTGGTGCCAGCTGCCTGCCCCTCTATTGACTGTTCTGGGAGGCGGCCAGGCCATAAAAAGTGTGCCCGCCACCGCCCTTTGCTCCTGGGCATAGATAACAATGCGCAAGGTGGATCTGGTCCTGGCATGCGCCCTGAAGGGCAGCAGGCACTTTTCTCTCCTACTGGTGGCCACCATCAGTGGACACCTAAGGCCTGGGATCCAGGCGGTTCCAGAGGGAAGGACAGGATTTCAAGAGCAGAGGGAGAAGAAAGGTGGAAAGGTGGCCAGTGCTGAGTGAAAGTAGTTTTCTGAGCTTCAAAACATTTCCTGTGTGACCTTCTGCTAACTGCTTCCCCTCTCTGGGCCTTCATTTCCCTATCTGTCAAACTGGGGAGCTGGTCTACCAAAAAGGAATACCTCCTTCGGGAAACCCTGAACTCCGTTCTTGGGGGGAGAGGCCTAGTGGTGTATTAGCACATCAAGGCCCTGACATGCTCTGAATCAAAGAAATCCTTTGAATTTTCTTCAGCCCTGTATTCTTCCTGCTTCACTGCCCAGGAAGCCCCTAGAAGCACCTGCCAGTTTCAGGTAGGGATGCCCTGGGCTGGAGGGCCACACCGTCTCTGTGACTCAGTGTTTAGCAGCAGATTTTGCCATTAGATGGCCTGGGTTCCAACGTACCCACCTCCAAGACGGCAGGCAAGTTACTTAGCTTTTCTGAGCCTCAGCCTCCTCATTTGTCAACTGGAAATACAATACTCTGATCTTAGAACTGTGTTTAGCACAGGGGCCAGCACGTAGTATGTGCTTGTGTTTTAGCCACCTGCTCACAGGGCTGTTGCATTTCCATGTGAGTTGCTGGCAGCCCGACTGATGCTTTTACCACCTACACCCCCCGGTACTGAGGACAGACGGTGGCTGCAAACACCCGAGGCAGGACAAGACTATCCCCCACCTCAGGAAGACCTCCACCTGGCAGGAGATCAGTGGCCAGGCCTGGCAGGCCTGGGCAAGCTGCAGCTTTGTCCACGTGGGATGTCTGGGGGTTGGCTGGGGCCCATGCATTGGATTGATGATCACCTGTCATTTTGTGTTTGAGCTCCTTGCAAAAGGCTGACATCTAAGACAACTTCCAAGCTGTGTGATGGGCAGCCTGTGCCTCGTGAGTTCCCTGTCATCCCAAGAGTTCCACTAGAGGATGGGGTGTTGTATGCCTCAGGAACGGGACCCCTCAGGTCCTGCAGGCACCCCAGAGCTAAGTGCTCCAGCTGTCCTGTCAGGAGTGGTGCATGCCACGTTGCAAGAGTCTCTACTGCCCCCAACCGCACCTCCTCGTGCTGGGTGGTAGGCCCAGGCTCAAGGTTTAAGAGTCAGGAAAACACCTGGCCTGGCTCTCAGAATTGTGCACATGAGCCCTATGTTTTACAGACAATTTCAGGTGGCCCATGGACCCCTACCCCCACATCGAGAGCCTTAATCTTATGGAGGAGCCAATGCCATCATTTACTGCAAGAGACTGGTGTGAGTGGAGGAGAGCAGGCCAGAGCGCAGCTCTTGGGAGGGACTTGGGGCTGGGAGTAGAATGTCCTGGGAGGAGGTCTCCAGCACCCAGGGTGTGTGTGTGTGTGTGTGTGTGTACACGTGTACATGTGTGTGTGTGTAATGGGCTTTGATGTTGGAGACAGGGACACGTGTGTGTACACGTGTACATGTGTGTGTGTGTGTAATGGACTTTGATGTTGGAGACAGGGACATAGGGAAGCTGCGGAGCTCTGAGAAAACCTTCCTGGCTCTGGGCGGGTGGAATGCCCAGCCAGGGGAACACAGGACCAGGATGTCAAGGTGGCTTTGGGGGGCATCCCGTCCCAGCGAGGCTGCTCCGGAACTACTTTCTCTGAATCACAACAGATGGGCTAGCAGTCTGGAACCTCATTTTTCACAGTCACCATTCCCTGGTGTAACAAAACACATGCTCTAGATAAAATCCGAACATTTAAGCAAATTAAAAGTGTTTATTTATATGCATTTAAAAATATCTCCCTATATAATAAAAGGAAGCACATTTTCATCTCGCACTTTTCTTAAATCAGCACACACCACCATTTCACTCCTGGCTTGATGTGAGAACGGGAGAGCAAGGAGGGAGGGGAAGGGCGGCTGAGTATTGGCCATCTGGATTCCTAAGTAGTCATTTTGCCTTAGTCATTTCCAAGTAGTACCCAAACCCTCTCTGGAACGAGAGGGGACAGTGGTGACAGCAGTTGTCAAACGCGCTCTGTCACTGAACTCCTGGCCAATTGTAGGATCGTAAAGCGGGGACTTCAGTGGGTAGACTGACTCACGTGGACAGCGCCTTCCAGAAGATCTTCAGTTTCGCTTGTTTTACAAAACGTGCAGGCTTGCCCAGCCAGGGCTGTGGTGCTGGGGAGGGGCTGAGGTGCCACCTGGAGGGAACAGCCTGGGTGGGGTTAGAGTCCTGGATTCCAAATGCGACCCTGCCTCTACCTCACTGAGTGACTGTGAGTTACCGAGTCAGCCCCCCAACCTCAGTTTCCCCATTTGCGCCCCGCAGCTCCAGCGTCTGCTTCTGATGCCAGTGGTCACCGCGTGATGAGTTTGCTCAGGGGAAGCTAAACTCCAGCCCTGTTTCCTTCTCCGCCCCCAGGGCTGGGGCTGTGAGGTGGGGAGTGAGGGCATGAGGAAGTCGCCAGACAAGCCCTCGTCCTCACAAGCCCTCGTCCTCCCGCCTCTGAGCCGGCTGCCTCCCCCTCCTCCCTGCCTCTGCCCTGCTCTGTGCCTTCAGAAGGTCCAGGGAACTGAAGTGCCAGGGGGATGGGTGGGGTACACCCTGCCCCAGCCTCCTTGCATTCAGGAGCCCTGGCTTCTGCCTCTCCCTGGGCATGGTCCCGTGGCTTTACCAGAGACTCAGAGCTTGGTGTGCCCTTGGGCCTGTGACGTCACTCCTCTGGGGTAGTTTCCTTAGGTATAAGTGGGAAGCACAAGCCTGTGTTCTCAAGCTGTAGGAAAGAATTAAAGATTAATGATTGGTTGGGGCTACCCGGTGACATGGTGGTTGAGATGCTGGACTTCTACATGACCAACTGTTAGAGTTCTGGATCTGGTGGCTTAAAATCACACCAGGTGCATCTGCGTGCGTGCCCCAAATCCCAGGAGAAGAATGGAGGAGAAGGGATTGAGGCGTGGCCATTCCCCTGGGAAGTCATTTCTCACTTTCCCTCTCTCTGTATCTCTCTGTCTCTCCCTGTCTCTCCAGCAAGGACATGCACCCTATGGTGAAAATCTAAAAATAAATAAGTAAATAAAATTAGTGACTGGCTACAAAGGTCTATCATAATGCACACAGTAGGGCTCAATAAATGCTCCTTTTCACCTTCATGGCTGCTCATGAGCGAGAGAGAGGGCAGAGGAGCCCCTTTTCTCCTGGGTCTGGAGAGGCCCTGGCCTGCCTGCCTGCCCCCTGCAGCCCGG